GATGTTGGTTCCTCTTTTTTGACTGAGTTCTTATGTTCTTCAATGCGTGCACTTATTCTTCTGTTGGTTTGTCCGATGTATGTGGTGGGACAAGTGGTGCATGGGATTTCGTATACTCCTTGATTTTCTAATTCAATTTTATCTTTGGGGTTTCTAAGGATGGTGGATATTTTTCTGTTTGTGCAGAATGCTGTTTTGATGTTGTGTTTATGGAGGATCTTACTGATTCTGTCTGTGGTGCCTTTTATGTATGGGAGGAGGGCTTTGCCGTTTTCTTGTTCTTCGTCTTGGATTTTAGTGGGGGTTTCTTTTTGGATTAGGTTTGTAATCTTATTTCTTTGGAATCCATTGGATGTTAATACATTGGTGAGAGTGTGTAGTTCGGTTTTTAGGTGTTGTTCGTCAGCTAAGCGTTTTGTTCTGGAGATGAGTGTCTTGGCTACAGAGTTGATCTGTGCTGGGTGGTGGTGTGAGAGAGCGTGCAGATAGCGGTTTGTGTGTGTTTTCTTCTGGTAGATGGTGTGTCCTAGGGAGCCATTGGATTTCTTGTAGACTAAGACATCCAGGAAGGGAAGTTGGTTGTTAGCTTCTGTTTCCATGGTGAACTGTATTTTGGGGTGTAGGCTGTTGAGGTGTGTGAGGAAGTTGTCCAGTTTTTCTTTCCCATGTGGCCAGATTATGAAGGTGTCGTCTACGTATCTGAGCCAGAGTTTGGGTTTGTGATCCGATTTTTCTAGAGCTTGGGTTTCAAAGTGTTCCATGTAGAGGTTGGCAATGACAGGTGAGAGGGGTGATCCCATGGGTGCTCCTTCTGTTTGTTTGTATTTTTGTCCATTATAGATGAAGTATGTGTTGGATAGGCAGTGGTTGGTCAGATCTAAGATGTGTTTGGGGGGGTTATATTTGTTTTGGATAGCTGTCAAGGCTTCTTTGATAGGCACTTGGGTGAAGAGGGATATGACATCGAAGCTCACGAGTAGGTCGCTGGGCTGTAAGTTTTGTTTCTTTATGATCTCTATAAACTGGAATGAGTTTTTTACGTGTGAGGTGATGGATTCTGCATAGGGCTGTAGTTGTTTGGCGAGAAATTTGGCTAGGTTTTGTAGAGGTGAGCCTATGGAGCTGACTATAGGTCTGAGTGGGGTTCCTTCTTTGTGTATCTTGGGGAGACCATAGAGTTTGGGGCATCTGGATGATTTCTCTCTGGGAATGATTCTTTGCTGGATCTCTTCGCTAATGGGGGAGGCTTTTATTTTGGATCTGGTGGTTTTTTCCAGGTAGGTGGTGGGATCTGTATTTAGGGGTTTGTATGTGGAGTCTTGGAGTAGGTTGGTTAATTTGGTTTGGTAGTCAGATGTGTTCATAACCACCGTGGCGTTGCCCTTGTCTGCTGGTAGGATTATTATGCTGGTGTCTTCTTTCAGGTTACGTAGTGCTGTCTGTTCCTCTTTGGGTAAGTTGCTTTTGGGTGGCTTGCTGGTACAGAGGATGTTGGTGATTTCGAGTCTGATTCTGTTAGCGTCGTCGGGGTTGATTTTGGTCAGGCTGGTTTCAACTCCACATATAATGGTTTCAGTGGGGATGTGTTTGGGAGTGACTGCAAAGTTGAATCCTTTGGAAAGGACATTGGTTTCGGCTTTGGTGAGGATCCTATCTGAGATGTTATGCACTGTTTGTTTCATGTGTGGCTGTGAGGGAGGAGGGGTTTGTTTCTGGCATTCTTGTAGTCTTCGGAGTTTGTTGGTGTGTGTATCTGTCTTGAGGGTGGTCTGTGTTTCGGCTCTCCAGATGGCGAGTTGTTTGGATTTGTCCCAAAGTGCGGGGTGGATCTTGTTGCTGAGTTTGAGGTGGAGTGTGAGGAGATCTTTGTTAATTCGGTCTAGGCGGAATCTTTTTGTGTGAAGTTCATTTCTGATTAGGGCCAATTCTGTTCTTTTCAGGATCCGTTTGGTGGCTGCAGAGTTGGAGTGGAATTTCAGTTGGAAACATGTGGGGATTAGATTTGATAATGATACCAGACCCACACTCACAAAAACCACACAGGATGTCACCACCACACATCCACGCAAAAAGCAAACCCAAAGCCACACTGATGATGAGGCACGACCACAAACCAGAAGCCAGACCAGAGCTGCATCATTAGCCACTTTAAAGCCCTCCAATCCATACATGAAGCAAACTGACACCCTCCATGAAAATGAGGCACGACCACAAACGCGAAGCCAAAAAATAGCAAGGCAGCCCAAAATCTTAAACCCCTCTGCAACTCAGACTAACCTGAGCACAACCAAACAGAACACTCCCCCAGCCAATCAGAGCACAGCCAACCCCCCAGCCAATCAGAGCACAGCCACCCCCCCAGCCAATCAGAGCACAGCCACGCCCCTAACCAATCAGAACACACCTCCACCCAATCAGAACACAGCCAAGCTCCCACCCAATCAGTTCATACCCCCACTGGCAGTTAAAAGGAAGAAACAGCTAAGACCACACATTGCTGCTCGAAGCACGAAGCTGAAAAACACCAGCCTGAAGATGACGAATGGGACTTCGTCGAAACGTCGCCAAGACACTTCCAATTTTACGCGGGAGAAAACCTGAACAACCAAAGACCTACATACAAACACCCGCGAAAACCTCAGAAAACATATATATATATATATATATATATATATATATATATATATATATATATATATATATATATATGATAATTCCCAGATATATATATGATAATTCCCAGAATTCTTCATCTTTGGTTATACCCAGTTTAAATATATATACATATATATATGAAAGGTTTTATGTCATTCATTTCAGCTTTAAAAAGTACTAAAGTAATAGTACATACATATGCCTGTGTTAAGTCCCTTGTATTAAAGTAATAGTACAAATACTTGCCTGTGTTAAGTCCCAATGAATTATGTAGGACTTATTTCTGGGCAAAGAGGCATAGATAGGCCCATGATATTTGTAACATAGGTAAAAAAGGTTATTGGGCATTTACCTCCTAGCTAGTGTTATATAGACAATATGCATTAAGTAAGAAAGCTTTTTAAAACTTTAATGAAAATTTAGAAGCATGCAGTGAAAGTTACTGTTTTTACTAATCTATACATCAGAATAAAAAAAATCTTTTAAAAAATCGACTCTGCCTAGTGTTTTTTCCATGGCCATTATTTACACACTTCTGTTTTCCAACAATATATGCAAGACTACAAGCTTTACAATTCAGTAATAATTGCATGTGCTGTCCAAAATGGACTGGCTATATTGCTCCTTTCATATAAGAGGGGTTGAGACTGTGATACAGAGAGTCCTTTTAGCCAAGCAAAAAGGTTTGCATGAACCAAAATTGGCTTTAAATTGCCATCCCATACATACAACGATGCACAGACAATAGCAGCTTTTATGTGTTGTTTTGCAAAATGCTTTTATGGCTCCCCTAGGTTTAAAATGCAAATTGTGGTACGGAAAGCTGCTCTAAGAAGTGGGGTAATAAAATGAAATCTTCCTAAGGGAACAAAATCAAGTTTACAAAAAATAAAGGGTGCATATTTTCTTTATGCAATCATATATATTCCAAGATACAACCATATGGAGAAAGATTAATATTGTTTTATAAAGAACCAGGAGCAGCCATTTTGTAAGGCTGTGGCTTTTTAAAAATAGCTATAAATCCTATTCCCACTATGTAATCAGTGTGTCGAGACTTAATATTTTACTGTTTGGTAAGTAGAATGTCTGGGTAAACAATTGTATTTAAAAAAATCTCACTGTAACCATCCCTTAATATCACAGTTCCCTGGATTGCAACAAACCAAAATCTATAAATTTCTTCCAAATCCTGGTGCAGTGACAAAAACACAAGCCTGATTCACTAATACACCTTATTACCTAAGGCAGTGGTTCTCAACCTTTCTAATGCCGTGACCCCATAATACAGTTCCCCATGTTGTGGTGACCCCCAAGTGGGTGTGGCCACCAATAAGAGGGAGTAGGTCAATAAGGGAGAGAGGGAGAGAGAGACAGAGAGAGAGAGAGAGAGAGAGAGAGAGAGAGAGAGAGAGAGAGAGAGAGAGAGAAGTTTTATGTCATTTATATCAGTTTTAAAAAGTACTAGTACCAATAGCAGTAGCAGTAACTACCATTATAATAAGATTATTATTATTTGATTAATGTCTTAATTTTGTTTTCATACAAATCCGAAGTACTGTAGGCATCTATGTGTTCCAGATGTTTTGAACTATAATGCCTACAAATGCTGCATCTTTTCCCCTAATTCCATGATTATCCTCTGCAGCTGCTGCACAATCCTGGGAAATCTTATATTTGATTTAAGGAGTTCTAGAAATATGCTGTTTATGGCCCCTCAGGCTCCAAATCATCTTTTTGCTTCCAAATCTGCACATATATAATATATATGAAAAGGTCTGAAAATATTTATTTAAAAAGTTTTTTTCTTAGAACTGCACTTGCCTTGTTCTTTACCACGAAACTTTGTTAAACAACTGGCTTATTGCAAAGACTGAAACTAATTGGGCTTCAGAAGAAGTAACTAGCCCAAGGTCAGTCCTCTGTCTTCTGTTCCTAACGAATTTATATTTTCACTTCTTTTTTTAAAAAAAATGACAGAATGAGAATGAGAAGAATGAGAAGAGGAAAAGGAGGAGGAGAAGGAGGAGGAGGAGGAGAAAGAAGAAGAAGAAGAAGAAGAAGAAGAAGAAGAAGAAGAAGAAGAAGAAGAAGAAGAAGAAGAAGAAGAAGAAGAAGAAGAAGAAGAAGAAGAAGAAGAAGAAGAAGAAGAAGAAGAAGAAGAAGAAGAACTAAGAATGTAATTAAAATCTTGTCCAGACACAAGATTTTATTAGGATGGTACTACGGGGACTTCTGCCACCCAATTCCTCTACTGTAATTTAATAGCCAAAGCACATAAAGAAGTCAGTTCTATCTGGTCTCTCCCATTGTTGACTGAATATTGTGGTTCATTAAGAGTTTACCTGGACTGGTGCACTGGTGGAGAGATGAGCCACATCTCCAATTCTGGCTGCAGCACGGGGGTCACTTGAACTTATCAGGACAGGAGCACTAATCTCCATGGAATGCCTATTATTCAAGGCCTGGGACGACTTGTGAGTCATACTGAGAGCAGTGAAGGAGTGGCGCTTCTTGGCATTCTTCTTGCCATCAATATGTCGTTGAATGGCACTGACTGCTCCAGCACTGTTCAGTGTACAGCACTGGACTGTGCTTACTGCCAGGTTAGTGTCAACTGGCAAAGGGACATCACTGCCAGATGCAGCAGCTACATTGGTCTTGTCCATCTCAATAAGCTGCTTAGCTGATTCATTGAGCTAAAAGAAGAAATAAAAAAGAGGTATTACAAAGGTGTTATCTTTGAGTATCTATAGAATTCAAAGTCCATCATCAAATGAGAGTATAAAGAATAGAAGCCAATCAGAATAAGAATGAAATGTTGCTAGTACTTTAACTTACACATATCAATGTAATGTTTTTTTCAGTTCACTTAAGTTCAGCTAGAACTTACTGTTAATTAAATGTATATGAGACTAACAAAATTCTCTCTTTTAGAAGCAGAGTACAAAACACAATAAACAGTGGCTATGCTATTGAATTAAAAATAAAATAAAAATATTCTGTTACATAGATGTTTCGTTATAACAGAAGACAATTCCTCCCATGCAGTTTGTTCAATGATCTAAAATCCCACTGATGAATTAGTCTTCTTTTGAGACGCTGAAGTGATTATTTACTGATTTAGAGCAGTCCTATCATGTAGACAGTAATGCCATACAGTGAGAAAGAGAAGGGTGCATTACAGAGCGGTAACTCTATTGCAGTGCAAAATTTACAATTACATCACTGTAATGAGACATTATTTCATGCAAGTCCTAAATATACAAAGATATATAAAAAAGAAGACTTCCTTCTTTTCTTCCTTTCTTCCTCCCTCCCTCTTTTGTAAATATAGTAAGAAAAAATTATCTGGGTCATTCTCTTAGATTATTAGTATTTTCCTTTTAATTTTAAAGCCACAACTTTAAAAGCCAATTTCAGTTGCAGATCCAGTGAAATATCCTTTTCCCCAAATCATGTCGGTTCAAAATTTGGTGGTCCTTACAGTTTATGTTTTAAGGAACAGATGACAACTGTGTCCAGGAAAGCCTTTGCACAAATCCATTTTGTATGAAAATTTGCATGTTCCTGGATTGGGAAGCTTTGTTCATGGTTATTCATATCTTAATCATTTCCAGGTAGACTATTGCAATGCATGTAGTCCTCGACTGATGACAACAATTGAGCTCAAAATTTCTATTGTTAAGCGAGACATTTAGTGAGTTTTACCCTATTTTATGACTTTTCTTACCACAGTTGTTAAGTGAATCATTGCAGTTGATAAGTTAGTAACACAGTTGTGAAATGAATCTGGCTTTCCTGTTGAATTTGCTTGTCAGAAGGTTGCAAAAGTTGATCATGTGACCTTGGGTCACAGCAACGGTCATATGTATGAACCAGTTGCCAAGCATTTGAATTTTGATCACATGACCATGGGGATGCTACAAAGATCGTTAAGTGTGAAAAATGATCATAAATCACTTTTTTCAGTGCCACTGTAACTCTGAATGGTCACTAAATGAATTGTTGTAGATTGAGGATTATCTATCCATTATTCTTTATGTATTATGCATTATTCTAGAATGCAGTGATGCATCTATTGTTACTGCTTGTTTAATTATAGTTTTTTTCATCATAGTTATTTAAGTTATTTCAGTTGTTACAGATAGTCCTCGACTTACAACAGTTCATTTAGTGACCAGTCAAAGTTACAGCTGCTCTAAAAAAAAAGACCTGTGACCATTTTCCACATTTATGACTGTTGCAACATCCCCATGATCATGTGATCAAAATTGGGAGGCTTGACAACTGAATTGATTGATTGAACTTTTTTTTTTTAGTCCCACAAACTTCTTTTGTTTGTGAGACTGCCCATGGTGGCGGAGGAAGTGACAGGAGACCGTGTCAAAGGTAGAAAGAAGGTGTCACATGGGTCCGATCAGGGGCAGGAAGGGGGGACGTTTCTGCCACACATCAACCGATTCTCTGAATTCAAAAGAAATTAGCTACCAGTTCTACCGAACCGGTGCAAACTGGCTGAATCTCACCACTGATCAAGAGTATATAGTGTAATGCTTACAGACCTTATTTCAGGAAAAGAATAAGTACAATTAATTGGCTTTAATATATTAATTTCCTGTTAAATTGTGATAGTGTATAAAAACACAAATTCTTTGCTAGTTCACCAACTAGGTGAGATTTACTTCTCTTTTAAGAGCTGAAAAAAGATTATTTATCTCAAAAAGAGAATTATCCATTTTTATACTTACCTAATATTTTTATTTTTATATTTACTTGAGTATTTTGATGCTATGTTCAATACTCTTACATATACTTTTTAATTTTTACATTCTTATATTTGTAGAAATTCTGACATAACCATTATTTTCTTCAACATAGAACAATATATATTTACTATGATCTTTATATATAGCTCTCTGTTATTTACTAGGAAGGTTGTTTATAAATAAATTCAAAAATGCTTGGATGCTACTTATTTTTTTTTTAATTGAAAATTTTTTAAAATTTTTACAAAAAAGAAACAACCCTAGCCGACCCACCCCAACCCTCCCACTCCCTCCCTCAACCTTCCCAGAGCTGAATATAGGCTTAATTAAAGTTTCTTAAAATCTTACAAAAGCTTGGATGCTACTTATTATCATATCTGGTGGTCATGTAAAAGTATAAAAGCTTTTTGGATTAAGATATGGTGGAATATTCAAAGAATTTTTAAAAGAAGGATAAAATTTACTCCACAATTGTTCTTATTGGGTATTGTTTCGGATTGTGATGACAAAGAGATTATTTTAATGTTAAATTTAATTACTGCGGCTAGGTTGTTAATAGGGCAATATTGGAAGAAGGAATCTTTGCCTACTTTGCAAGAATGGTTTTTTAAATGGCAAAAATTTCGGCTTTCTTGAAAGATCAATCGCAAGAGAAGTATCTCTTGGTGTGGAAAAGATGGATAAATTTTATACAATATAAGTATGATATAAGAAAATATTATTTAGCTTTTGAATAATTTATATTTAAAGTTTAAGATATTATCTAGAAGTGTAATTATTATTATTTTTTTATTTTTTAATTTTTTTATTTTTTTATCTTCTCTTTTTTTTCTTCTTTTTGTTTTTTATATATAATGGAGTTAAAGTATTTTACAACTTGTTTATTGAGTGTAATTATATTTGCTTAAGTTTTATTTGGGTTTAAAACTTTTTTTCTTTTAAGTTCTAGTTAAGCCTGTACTCAGCTCTGGGAAGAATGGGGGAGGGTTTTGGGGTGGGTTGGGAGGAATTGGGGAAGGGGCTTTTATTGTAAAATTTTAAAAAGTTTTAATAAAAAAAAATTCAAAAAAAAGAATGTATATCAAAGCAGTCTGTGTTTAAGACAGGATAGCATCTATGAGTTTGTAAAAGAAAATACATAATGCATATAGCAACAGTAAGCATTAATCCCCTGAAAAGTGAACAAGGGATTTTTTTCCCCTTCCCTAGAGCAAATATAATATTTGAACAGGAAATGTTACAGTTAATACTTTACCTAAGTAGAAACCTGGAATTTTTTTGTGGCGAATATCCCTCAACAATACTATTTTCTATGAATATATACTATTGAATAATATTCCTTTAATTCTATATATGACAGGCTGTAGACATTTAGGGAAGACATAAAATACTTGAGCAGACTATTAAATTCCTTCACCTTAAACTACCACAACAAAACATATCTTGACATTGCTGAGATGTGATTTACTCACAGCTAGTATAATCCAGCTATTTCAAAGTGTTTATAATATAGTCCAGTGATCTCATTTTTGGATTTATAGGCTTAATTTAGATGAATCTTCTGTGTGAATACTAAGCTTTGTTGGCAGTCCCAATGTACTATTTATCACTGTAAATAATCTTTTTTTAAAAAAAATGCTGGTAAAAAACAACAAATAAAATATTTTCCTAATTCTACCCTTTAGTATAAATTTCACATTACCCTATTGATATTACTCCATTTTTGAACAATAATTAGTGTTCAGCATTGAATATTGTGAATATGAGTAGAACAACTAAGCCTTATCAGAATATTTTGTACATGGCATGTGTGTTATAAATCCAATGCACCCAAGTTGATAGACACTTCTTTGCAAATCTGCATGTTGGACCCAGTCATATTGCCTTGTACATGGCTCAAAAACATTTTCCTTTACTAATGGATTTCTATTTTGTGGCTGTGACCATTGTACAGCTTGGAGAAGTTATTCAAAAGCAGATTGTGACATTTATGAGCTACACTGCCAATGAGAGAATGCCTAAGTAAACACTGGGCATTGTTTGTGTTTCAATGAAAAGAGCTGAAGGTTAGGTAAAATTGAAAAAAAATTCAGACATTAAATATTTCTACTCCTGGATAATAGGAATCCTCTCTCTAGGTTTCTTAAAATCAAGTCTCTTAAAGTCCAAGACTCTAGTCTGACTTTATTCCTTGTGCTTGCCTTATGTTGAATTTCAATATTGCATGGTGACTCCCCCCTGCCCCTCTACAAGTTATTTTATAACAGCAGTCCCAGAATGTATAAGCGTTTTTTTAAGCAATACAAGTTTTAATGAAAACTTTTCAAGAGAATATGGCCTTGTAAGAAAATAATGTGTATATGTTACATTTCTCTTTCATTTCCCAGAATGTTATATTTTATGCCTCTTTCCAAGCATCTTTGATGGTACGGAAGGTGCACTATGGGAAATGGTAGGATCTTACTGAAGATGATCCTTGAAAATTTCAGTTTCTTCCCCAGATCTTAAAAGAAGCAAAATGTGAACTAGGAACTATAATCTTAAAATGTTTGTGAAGTTCCTCCTTTCATAATGACATTATAGAGAGCCATAACAAGTTAGAATGAATAGTTGACTTCACACCTTAATTCTCAGAATATTTTTGACTGAACAATCCCCTGACTATTTCTTTAGAATAATTAGTTTAGTCCTAGTGCATTGATTAACAGGAGCACAACAGCCAAGAGAATTCCCACTGTGTATCATTTAATCAAATAAACTGCCTGCATCTAACATTATGGGTATAGAATATCATCAGCCATTACACCATCATAAGCAGTCAATGTTTCAATAACAGTTGCTAAAACATAATTTAAAAAATTATAGCTGTTGTCACTGAAGAATTTATATCCAAGGTACTTTGCATAATATTGAATACTGTACTGCTGTTGTGAATATGCAGACAGCTGTTTTATTTTTTTAATTTTCCTTCAGGTCTTTCAAAGAGAGTGGTGACTTATTTCTGAAGGATGGATTACAACAGTGGGAAGGACTTATTTTGAGAGATTTATTTACATATTATTACATTTAACTGTCATGTTATGAGATGAAGGCTGTGCATGTAGGTTTTCCACTCATTTTATCCTTATAATAATCCTATGAGTTAGAGGGATTGGCCTTAAATTACCTTATATAACATAAATGAATCCTGATTTGATCTCCCCACTCCACTCCAACATCTACATATGTTGTGATTCGCAATCAACAAAATTGTTGTTTCAGTATAATAAACCCAAACATAGGTAGTACATTCATTAAGAAACCCTTACTATTGATGTCAGAAACTGGGACATAATTAACTTGTGACAAACTATCCATTTTATCTGTCACATTTCATTGTTACATACAAGTTTTCTTATGCAGTGTAGAAATAAAGTGGAGTGGGAATTATGCATGCAGTTTGGCTAAATTTTATGATCCATATTGGCATAAGATACCAGTGAAAGTCGAGACCCTGCAATGTGAATTAGGGGTTCCACAAGCTGCAGAACTATCAGGTGCAACAAGTCATATATTACATTTGTAGCTTTGATTTATATGCAAAGGCTGCTATGAACAAGAATTTTCCTGGAGAAGCTCATTTTTAATAAATCATTCCATTAGAGGATTAGCTTGGTTAGCAACTTGTGCCTTCAAAAAGCAGCAACTGCCTGGATTAAAGGGGAAGAATTCAGTATACTAGACATTCATAGAAATGGAAAACAGCAGAGAAAAAAAGTACATTTTCAAGCAAGTGTGAATTCAATTCTATAGTAACTGAAGGTAAAATTTCAAACTGAACTTTTGTCTTTGTTGACTTGTATTTCTCAAAATGATCAACTAAATTGGGCTGTATATTTTTCACAGAAAAGTTTCTGACAGTTTTTAAAAGTGCATTTGTGGTGACAGTGCTATTTGTCTCTGTGTGTTCATCTCAAGGCAACAGAAAAATCCTGCACTTTGTGTTCACCATCAAAAGAATTATATCGATTTCACTGTAAAAAAATCAAATGATAAAAATCAAGCTTTTTCTCTCAACAAAGAAGTACAAAAGTAATCTGAGTTTACCTCCACATACAGAATAGGGAATATTCCAATTTTATCACCCAGCATTCCTTCCGCCCAATTATCATCTACTCTTCGGATGACAGTCAAAATTTCATCCTAAAAAATGATAGATAATACACAAAATAAAAATAAGATTTTTTAAAAAATATTTCTGTTTCAAAGGAAGTGGGAAGAAAAAAAAATTTCTTTAAATATATCTCACAAACTTCTCACAAAGTAAAGCAAAACCAAATATTCTAGGAAGTAAATTATTTTTATCCGAATATGATATAACTAGTTACACATTTTCCAACTTCTTAAAAGACTACAGTACAAATTAATTTTTTAAATTGCACTTAGCCATTGTTAAAAAAAAGCATGAAATCATTTGGTGCTATCTTGATTTGTTTGTAATTTTTTAATTCCAATTATATTTCCATTTCAGCATTGTATGTGTATATGCATTCAGGATGAGAGCAACAGACTAATTTCAAAGTACATGCTTTCCAAACTTGACTCTTGTTCAAAGAACCTGATTTTCAAATAAAAACAATATAGATCCCCAAATCCTAAAGCCTGCTCATTCTTGCAAAGAATGCAATTTATCTCATGAAATGTGCTCATATGATTTATATTAACTCTTTTACTTCTGCTATATAAAGTGTTTCTTTTTCAATTTCCTCAATTTCCTTTTTCAGCTGTAATAATTACACATTTCATACACTAATTATTACAATGGAAAAAGAATAACACATGTTTCCTTTTATTGACAAAATCTGGCTTTTCAAATTGGCTGAAATGTTTTGTCATTCCACTAAGTGAAGACTGATGAGGGATGGCTGAAATATTTTTTTATGTATTTCCACATAGTAAAATTTAATTTTCATACATTCTGTAGTCTGATTACTGAGTTTTTCAGATAAGCTGCTTTGAGTATTTCCTGATTTGGTGGCTCTATAGAGCCCAATACGTATAGCCGAATGAAGAAAGAAATATCAGCTCTGTTACCATTTTAAATCTTCACTGAAGCATCTGCTTACAGAAAAATTCCAAAAAAACTAGCACTAAAAATATTAAATTCGGAGTTCAGGGAATTTGAAATCCATAAAAATCTACTGACAGAAAATGACAAAGCTACTATGTAACACAAAAGAAAGACAGATGTTATACTGGACTGAATTACCATTACAAACAATATACTCAAACTCTGTTGTCCATAGTACAGAAGCTGGTTTAGTTGTTTCTGCTTCTACATGTATTCTTTGGCTGCTGGGCTCCTATACTTTTTCCTCTCCATCTGCCTAGATCTGATGAATATTAGGGCTGCACGTGACCACAGATTTGAAGGCAGAAAGAAGCAGGGACAACCCATGTCTGTAGTTCTTATAAACAGCAGACATACTTTCATGCAACTACACTGCAACTCTTGGGAGATGGTGCAGCTTCTTTATTCTTCCCATATCTTTCATGAATCCTGGAGCAACCTGGAACTACCTGAGGATTGGAAAAGAGCTGATGTGGTTCAAAAAAGGAAAAAAAAAAAAAGAGGAAACTACAGACCAATCAGCCTAACATCAATACCTGGGAAGATACTGGAAAAGATAATAATAAAAAAACCCAGATCTGCGAACATCTAGAAACAAATAGTTATAACTAGAAGTTAGCATGGGTTTGTTAAAGACAGATCACGCCAAACCAATCTTATTTCATTCTTTGACAAAGTGACTAAATTATTAGACCAATTAAATGCTGTGCACTAGTATACTTAGATTTCATTAAAGTATTTGACAAAGTAGACCACAACCTACTTCTTGATAAGATGGATTTGTACCTGGCTGACAAACCATACTCAACAAGTAGTCCTTAATGGTACTACATCTACATGGAGAGTACTAACCAGTAGTACCACAAGGTTCCGTCTTAGGCCTAGTAGTTTTCAATAAATTCATAAATGACTTAGATGAGGGAATAGAAGAAGAACTTATCAAATTTGCAGATGATACTAAGTTGGCAGGAATAGCCAACACCCTAGATCAAGGGTGTCAAACTGCCAGCCCATGGGCCGGATGTGTCACCAGGAAACCACGCCCATCCCATTGCCGGCAATGGAGAAAAAGCTCTGATACATCTTGCAATGTCACGTGACATCGTGAATTTGACATGTCTGCCCTCGATGATAGGCTCAAGATCCAGATGGATCTCGACAGACTTGAACACTGGGAAATTCAACGTAGAGAAAAGTAAAGTCTTACACTTAGGCTAGAAAAACCAAAAGTATATGTACAGATTAGGTGAAACCTGACTTAATAGCAGTAACTGTGAGAGGGATCTTGGAGTCCTAGTGGACAATCAATTAAATATGAGCCAGCAATGTGCAGCAGCAGCTAACAAACCCAATGCAATCCTAAGTTGCAGTTAACAGAGGGACTGAATCAAGATCACATGAGGTACTAATACCACTCTATAAAGTCTTAGTAAGACCACACCTAGAATACTGCGTTCACTATTGGTCACCACACTATAAAAAAGATGTTGGGAGTCTAGAAAGAGTGCAGAGAAGAGCAACACAGATGTTAGGGGCCTGGAGGCTAAAACACATGAAGAACGATTGCAAGAAATGAGCATGGCTAGTCTAGTGAAAAGAAGGACCGGGGTGACATGATAGCAATGTTCCAATATTTGAGGGGCTGTCACAGAGAGGAGGGGAACAATGTATTTTCCAAAGTACCCGAAGGCCAGACAAGGAGCAATGGATGGAAACTGATGATAGAAAGATTCAACCTAGAAATAAGGAGAAATTTTCTGACAGTGAGAACAATCAAACAATGGAACAGCTTGCCTTCAGAAGTTGTGGGTGCTTCATCACTGAAGGCTTTCAAGAAGAGACTGGATAGCCACTTGTCAGAAATGGTATAGTGTCTCTTGCTTGAGCAGGGGGTTGAACAAGATGACCTACAAGGTCTCTTCCATTATTCTGTATTCTTAATCAGCTTTTTGCTTTCAAATTCAGAATACTATCCAACCCTAATGAATATAATACAGCGAAGCCTCTATTTAACAGATTGCCCATTTGGCAGACTTCTGATGTAACAGACCACATGTCTATCCAGATGTTCTGTTGAAATAATGGACCAGCCTGTTGCATTAAAGCCCATAGTTTGAATGAGGCATTCTAATTATATTATTTTATGTTAATGCTATGTTATATTATATAGTGAAAGAAATCACCCAACTCACTTCACAGAGTTGTGTGCGGAAAATAGGAGGAGGAGGGAGTATTATATATGTTGGCGCCTTGAGTTATTTATAAAAATAATAGGTGGAATAAAAATAAATACATACACAAATAAATTACAAATTAATGAATACTGAGAAGTTTAATGGGCTTTGGTCTTCTCCAAATGATCCATTAAAGTGGGATTTTTCTCTAATAAACTTTGCAAAGAAAACATTAAGAAAAGAAAGAAATGTTTCTATTTATAAAAGAATTGAAGTTCAACTACTAAACTAGCGATAGTATGATATCCACTTAGTTCATGTTCACCTAACTCACAGTTTTGACTCCTTATGTGAACTAAAACAATGATATTGACCCAGATTTGCAGTTCCTGAAATGTTAAGATGTATTTCATAGTGTAAAGATATGTTCATTGATTTGTGTATATTGGTGGAAAGTATGCAGAAAGATGCATACAAGGGAAAATATATACCAACAAATTATACTTAGAAAATATATATAAAAATATACATGGGGAGGAAATGCATAGAAATATTTATGCTGTGAGAAATATATGCAAGGTCTTCATATCAGCTTAAAAAAAAATAACTGGCAAGGAAACAAGATGGAATAAATTTAAGGCCAGAAAAAAAGGAGCACAGTAAAATTGATTTGGCAGATGCACTGTTATGTAGACTAATCTGTCTGCCTAATTTCCATCTCGTATAGCTATGGAGTGTTATATAACTACACAAGGAATGAAATCAGTGGGATGATACTCCCTAGTACACAAGACACACCATTTGGTAGAAAAAAGCAGACCATTGCCAGCATTGTAAAGTGCCTTTGAATATTCCACTGAAAAATTTAATGGGTCAATCCAGGTCCTTTCTGACTCAGATCAGTTTTCATGTCACTTTTTATATGAAAATGTCACATGCGGGCAACATTTACCATTCTGCTTCACCACAACATACAAATTACTGACATACAGTTGCCGGAACTATTTATATTTCATGTTAACAAAAACAAAAATTGGCAACCTGTATTTCTACACCAAGGATACACTGGAAAAAAGCAAGGGTTGTACTAACATCCTTGGGAACCAACTCTTTTATCCTAGTCCATATTTTTCACTTTGTCCTTATTTGCAAAACCTGCTGTTTTACATAATTTATTTGGGTCTATAATTCATAGGGGGGGGTCACCAAGGACAATGACCTGTCTATAATAGATTTTGCCTGCTAACTTTCAGGCACTGTGACCTTACAGATTAGAAACTAGGAGGAAGAGGAGAAGGAAGAAGAAAGGGAAAGCCAGAGATTCTCAAAAGACTAGAAACATTGCCTAGTACCATGCTGTGCTTGTTGTGGAATCTGGCAGGTACCCTGCTCTGAAGATGATGAGCTCCACATGTTCAGGATTCAGGCACAGACTTGAGAGGAATGAGTTTCTCCTGTCTAGATTGGTTTCTTCTGCTATTTTAACTCAAGACAAATTCAAGAAGATTAGATTAAACCTATTAAAGGCGGCTTCTGAATCTCTCTGAATCAACTCTGGCTGCTGAAGAAGATGCTTATTTGTGTACTCCATGTGAATTTCTGGAAAGCATCTGATTGGTTAGTATGTGGGATGCTAGATAATCCTTAAACATGACCTAACAGGATTCCTTTGTTTTTAAATTGTTATACACTGACATGGGGACATCTTTTAGAAACAGGATATGAACTGAACCAGGAAATAAACAATCCATCATTTATTTACATAAATGATGAAGTGCCACTTGATCTTACTGCACGGTCTGCTATTCTATGCATATTGATTTCCATCAAACAAAGCTGTGAATCATTGTTTCAGAATTGTTGTCTATGTGAGATGTTATGTCCTTTCTTCTGTTTCT